ATGTCATAGTATACGACATAAAACTACAGAATTCCAATCTCTAGGCAATCTCGTAACTTCATTAAGTAACTGCGAAAGAAGCACTCAGTTTTTAATTAAGTCCTATAAACGAAATGATTTTTATTTAATTAGGCATAGAATTCAGAGAAGAATCTTTTTCTGTCGTAGTCTGCGGCAAATAAAATCCAAGCGCGAAGTGACAAATCCATTTGACTAGCTGCGGAACAGATCCTTCCGTCTGGAAGATCCGTGCCTCGAAACGAAGCAATTAGCAAATCGTCAGCGTTAACAGTGTCGCGGCAACGATTTAATTCTCCGCACTGTGGACATCTGCCACAGTCTTTAGCCAGGTTTCCGCATGTATAATTGAGGAGGGTCGCGGATTGCGAGTAACATGCTGTACCGGTGCTCGCGAATGTGTACTTAGTAGGTGGCGTGTCAAGGTCGTGCGAAAGCCTCGGGACCCGTGGCTTCTATGCGAGTTTTAGCAGCGAGCGTAATGGCCAACGCCGCCGTAAAACGCACACACACACACACACACACACGCCCACAAAAGGAGTTACAATGAGTACGTGTACGGTCAATGTGGTCTCCCCTGTGGTAACGAGGCAGCTCGAAATTCTCCGTGGTCAATTTGCCGGGAACGGAATGAAGGGGTCGGTAAGAAATGACACGGTGCGGTCAGATTACCTGTCACGGTCGCCTGTTGACGATCCCATTCGCTTTTAGGACCGGGGATTCAGTTTTGATGTAGTCGTAATAAGAAGCGCTGACCCTTGTCCACCCTTGGTACCAGAATGACATAGTTGCCTTAAAAGGCTTCAACCGTTTTATTATAGCAAAACGACATTTTTTATTGTATCATATTATATCAGTGTACAAAAGTATCTATTTTTATCTAATTCCGTTCTGTAATAGTAATGAGAACCGCTGACCCCTGTCCACCCTTCGTATCAGAATGACAGCTGTTTTAAAAACCTTCAACTGTTTTATCATACCGTAACTACATTTGTTATGAATGATGTCAGTACACAGAAATATCTATTCTTATCTAGTTCTCTTCTAATCTCTTTTTAATGATATATGGAAGAGACACTAGTTATCGGAAATGGAAATGGTATTGCAGACGTCATATGGAAATATTAATGGCAGCAATGAAAGTTTGTTGCAAGTTTACTTAGACCGTAGATCGTTCACAATAACTATAGTTACAGTGGATGAATTATTGTGATGATTTAGAAACTCTCACTTGGTCGAAGTTTTGATTATAATTGGAAATACTGTTTTCATTATAATAATGCATCAGACTTAGAATACTTATTACAATCTTTACGTTAATAAAGTAAATCTTAAGAATTCTGATGTATTATTACTCTTAAAACTACCCAACACAGTTTGTATCCGTTTAACCAGGACACAGTCAAGTGCATGCGTACTCAGAGGAAAATTGCAAAGTCGATTTTCTCGAAAATAAAACCTCAAACGCAAACAATTTATTCTATACTTTAGACTTATTTCATCATGTATATTCAACAGCTTTGCGGTTGTACTATTAATACTGAGTCACCCTATATATTCATACTCATAATTTTTATATTTCAATAGATGCTGTTGAAAATATAGAATTATCAGTTTATCGATAATATGTATTATCTATAATCAATGCTATTATCTATAAATTACTTAAAAAACGTGGTCTGACCTTGTTGCTCGGAGCAACAGTTGAGGACAATCCATTTAACTGGTAATTATCCCGAAAATCCTAATCCTGTGGACGCTGAAAGAACCAAGGCGGTGGCTTCCATCATCCACTCGAGCGATCTCGTTTACGAAAGATAAAACTGTACTCCCTTCAGTTAGATACAAATGTTTTGTCTTTTGCTCGAAGTTCACCGAGCCTCTCCGCCGGGATGACAATTGTTATTCTTTCATGATAGCAAGTTTGTTCCGATAATTCTGAAACGAGGATACGTACCCGCGAAGTTCAGTTTCTCCGCAGGATATTTGTGTTCAATTTATCTCTTTCGTTAAAACAGCAATAAGAAGAGAAAAGAGAAGATAAAAAAGTTGCTCGATTTATGGTACAGGATAAGGTACTTTATATGAAAGAGCATTCAATTTGTCTTGTTCGTCAGAAAAAGATGAGTATGAAACGTTCTCGGAATTTACGGTTCAGCGGTATAATACTGTTCCGTGGTACCTGGATGTTTGCGATTTCATGGTAAATGACGAGACGGAGGATTGCTTAATCAAGAAAATAAAGAGATTATTTTTATTGCCGTAGTTAGCAGTCCTGCTGACCCGAATCGTCGCGTAGCTGAGATGCATTAACGGAACACAGCCTTGATCCTTTTATTCAGTGTCTCCCGACGACGGTACATACTTTGGGATCGATATTTTCCGTTGCCAGGGGTCACCCGTGACCGATCTTAAAATCTTCTTCCGAAATTTAACGCGACATTAATTATTACAGATAATCCAGAGCTACGTTATTATTTTAAAAAATTCTTTCATCTCAAAAATGTACAATTAATCTTAAAGAAGAAAAATCTTTTTTTCATTTTTTGTAATACCTTCACTATATGATTCTTACAGAATTTCTCATGCTAAGAGCAAATCTGGAAGCAAAATTGCTGTGTCACATACCGTTTCCGAGAAATATCGGTTTCTGTAAATA